TTTCCACCTCCAGGGGCGCACTGCACTTAGCCCTCTCTCTATTGCAGCCTCTGGTCAGGTAAGTGACAAGTATGCACCGCTAGTAAAACCACTTTAAATAAAATTATTTTTGATAGTTAAAATATTATTCATGTGGTCCCTCAAACATTCAAATATCTCTTATTCTATTATTTTCATGAATGTTTCTGGAACCCCAAAGGTAGAGATTTTGTACCCTCCACTTGCCAACCCATCAATATACACCTCTATCTGCTGGTGCAGCTTCAGTATTGCATTAATGGATGTGGACTGTGAATTTGAAGTCAAACATTGCCAGAATTCAGAGACACCTAGGGGAATGTTGGGGAGAAGGGAGGGAGGGTGGATGGTACATGTAGATGTCAGAGGTATAATAGCATCATAGGTGAAAAAAAGGTGACCGCCTTTTCTTGCAAAACCACTAGACAGCGAAATTAGGGTGCTGGTTCTAATAATGCAAGAACTAATGTGAATGATTTAATGTGTTGAGTTCTAACAGAAAAATATCATCAGCATTTAAGATAAATTAGAAACAGTCTTAAAAGCGAGGTACCAGTGACTACCTTAGGGGTGTCCTGTATAGCACACTGGGAAAAATATGTTTTGCTGCCTATAAGACAGGGATATATACTTACACAGAAGGTTCTTAAATACTGCCAGCTGTTCTACAATACAGTCTCAGAATACAAATGCGATAAAATTGGTACAATCAGACAGCATGCTGCTTGCTGCCATTATTGCATAACAAGAAGTACTACTAACATCGTGCTTCCGTATGAAGCTCTGTACTGCAGATTAAAGTGCTACTAAATCCAAAACAGTAAAAATCAGTCTGTATATGCAGTAAAGCATGCTAGGTATACTCACTGTGGAACCTAAGGGGTTAATCCTCTGCATTGTGTAAAAAGGCTGTTTGATCCTGACTTCTCTGCTCCTCTTCTTGTTCAAATTATAATGTCTTATCTCCTGATGAGACAGACTGAACCCATAGCCATTCTGCACATGCTCAGTTTAATGTGTATTGCTAGAGAGGTTTTTTTTTTTGTTCTTGGGAGAGTGCATGTGAACAGCACAGGGCCAATCAGCACTGTCCAGACAGAGGTCAGGGGTTTTACATCCTCCTAGAGCAGAAAGAAAATGCCTCCTACAAGCTTTAACCAGTGCTCTGCTGGACACTGATAGAAGTCACAAGACTGCTCTAACTGCTGATAAGGAAAGGTATTTAGCAGTTTATACAGTTGCAAGAAAAGGTATGTGAACCCCTTGGGATTACGTGGAGTTTTGCATGAATTGGGCATAAATGTGCTCTGAACGTCATCTAAGTCACAACAATAGAAGAACACAGTCTACTGAACATAATACTACACAAACATTAGATGTTGCCATGGTTTAATTGCACATAACATGTAAACATTCACAGTGCAGGGAGGAAAAAGTATGTGAACCTTTGGACTTAATAACTGGTTGACCCTCCTTTGGCAGCAATAACCTAACCAAATGTTTTCTGTAGTTGCAGATCAGACCTGCACAACGATCTGGAGTCATTTTGGACCACTCCTCTTCACAAAACTGTTTCAGTGTAGCAATATTCTTGGGATGTCTGGTGTGAATCGCTCTCTTAAGGTCATGCCACAGCATTTCAATCAAGTTGAGGTCAGGACTCTGACTGGGCCACTCCAGAAGGCGTATTCTGTGCTGTTGCAGCCATTGTTTTGTTGAATTACTTGTATGCTTTGGGTCATTGTCCTGTTGCATCACCCATCCTCTGCGGAGCTTCAGTTGGCGGACAGATGGTCGTACGTTTTCCTGCAAAATGTCTTGATAAACTCTGGAATTCATTTTCCCATCAATGACAACAATCCGTCCAGGCCCTGAGGCAGCAAAGCAGCCCCAAAACCATGATGCTCCCTCCGCCATGTTTTACAGTGGGGATGAGGTTTTGATGTTGGTGTGCTGTGCCTTTTTTTCTCCACACATAGTGTTGTGTGTTCCTCCCAAACATTTCAATCTTGGTTTCATCTGTCCACAGTATATTTTGCCAGTAGTGCTGTGGAACATCCAGGTGCTCTTTTGCAAACTTCAAACGTGCTGCAATATTCTTTTTGGACAGCAATGGCTTCCTCCGTGGTGTCCTCCCATGTACTCCATTCTTGTTTAATGTTTTCCTTATTGTAGATATATCAACAAAAATGTTAGCATGTGCCAGAGATTTCTGTAGGTCTTTAGCTGACACTCTGGGATTCTTCTTTACCTCATGCAGCATTCTGCGCTGTGCTCTTGCAGTCATTTTTACAGGACGACCACGCCTTGGGAGAGTAGCAACAGTGCTAAACTTTCTCCATTTGTAGACAGTCTGTCTTACCGTGGACACATGAACATCAAGGCTTTTGAAGATACTTTTGTAACCCTTTTCAGCTTCATGCAAGTCAACAATTCTTGATCGTAGGTCTTCTGAGAGCTCTTTTCTGCGAGGCATGGTTCACATCAGACATTGCTTCTTGAAACCAGTAAACCCAAAACAGGTGTGTGTTTTTTAAGGGCAGGACAGCTGTCAGCAACACATCCAATATCATCAAACTGATTGGAGTCAAGGTTGGCTCACTCCTGGCTCCAATTAGCTCTGGGAGAAGTCATTAAGCTAGGACCTCACATACTTTTTCCTCCTTGCACTGTGAATGTTTACATGTTATGTGCAATTAAACCATGGCAACATCTAATGTTTGTGTAGTATTATGTTCAGCAGACTGTGTTCTTCTATTGTTGTGACTTAGATGACGTTCAGAGCACATTTTATGCCCAATTCATGCAAAACGCCACGTAATCCCAAGGGGTTCACATACCTTTTCTTGCAACTGTATTTACTAAAATAATTCCACTTCCATGTTCTGTGTAGTGTGGGAGACCAGATATAGTGAATACAGGGTCCTGGGTTTTTAGTAACACTTTTTAAGTCTGATTATTCACTTTAAGAACCATGCACACTATCTTATTTTTAAGCTCCTAGCATCTAGTTATGAGGCTCCATGCACACTAGCGATTTTATTTTTTTTTTTTTTTAAGCTAAAAAAATTTTTAAAAACCAGCATTGTGTCCACAGTAGCACTTGCATAGGCAGGGCAGAGTAGGACTGGCCATAGAGGGATTACTTTGACGCAGTTGGCCAGCTGACGCATGTATTGCAATATGTGTGAACTAAATATCCCTATTTATTGCATAGTCTGCTTGAAAGTGTATATACCAGGGTGCAGAGGGTCTTCAGAATTTCTAGTGTTAATATGTGGTTACACCCATTTAGCACCTGATGGATAAATGCATGCATTAGCTGTTGGGATTTGAGCACAGGGATCTCTTGTTTGTTGTTTACATCACAGAGCTCCCTTTTCCTGAATGTTGGAGCTGTTCAGTAGGTGCCTGAAATCAATCATTGGCCGGCATCTGCTGATCAGCTTGTGCTGTGACTAATAACAGCACAGCCAGGGTAGCACGCATGTGCGCCCCCTACTCAGAGGTGCTGGATCACGTAGCAGATAAATGTGAGGGTGCGGCGCCGCCATACATGTGACGCGGTCAGCAGGCAGTTAAAGAGGAGCTTCAGTCCCCCCCAAAAAATTAAAGGCAGCAGTTACAAATACTCTAGCTGCAAACTCTTACTAAAAGGACACTTATCTATCCAGGGATCAAGGGATGTCCTCAAGAAAAACAAAAAGAGGGTGCACTGGCCTAGTACATTATTATTTAAAATATTTATTGAAAGAATAAAAAGGTAGGTATCATACTCACAATGAACATATAAAACACAGGCACATCACAATGAACAAAGGTGTGCAATCCATTTAGCATCTGAGTCCACAACAATGGAACCCTGAATGACCAACTTACTGACGCGTTTCGAGGACTTAGCCTCTAAACGAGCAATAATGCACTAGTCCGGTGCGCCCTTTTTTTGTTTTTCTTTTGCATTTTTGCCAGGTCCTCACCAGTCTTTGGGTCCCTGGCGCTGGCATGTTTACTAAGGGAAGCCAACTCTGATTCCTTGCAGCTTCGCAGCCAACTTCCCACTGTGCATACGCGAGCCGCGCTGCTCTTTCTGAAACCTGTTATGTGTCCCAGAATGCTGCGGGCAAAGGGGGGTGAGCGGAACTTTCACTCAGCAGTCTGGGAGAAAGTGGGAGCAGGTACCTGTATCCGCTCCCCACCCAAAAAAAACAAAGATCCACTTTAACAACATAGCACAAAGTGATCCCAAAGCTGCACACACACATGCAATAAAAACTTCCCGCTTAATGAGTCATTCTTTCCATACAATTCAAGGGGTCACGTCACAAGGGGCCCTTTCATCAAATCAACCGATATGGCGTTTTTCTTTTAATATAATGTTAAACAGAACGTTTTCTGAAAAGGCATAAATACATGACTAATTGCTACCCTAACTACTCCGCAGTGTGAGTTCTCAATGCTATGATTCACAGGTGGTGATTTCCTATTCAAGACGCACAATGATATTTCAATCCTGTAATATTTAGTAACCGAAAAAACAAATGGAAATCCTAAAATAATTAAAGACAGGGGAAGTGTTACAATGTTTATTCACACACTTGACATTTCGCTGTAAATCAGACTTTCAATGGGAGTGACCTAAAGTTTAATATGAATAAATATTTAAGTTTGTATAATGTCTGTCTGGTTTGCTAATGTTATGCATAGCCATTTTTTTTTCTGCATAGCGTAGGGAAAAGAGAAAAAAAATATGTCCATTTCATTTTTGCTGTCTTTGTCCTGTTGGGAAATTTCCCTTCACTTCCCCAGAGAAGCCCCCAAGAGAAGCAACAAGTTAGAGTAAATTCCCTTCTAACACCCCATCTGTCTATGGGGTGTCTATACCAATTGCATGAAAAGTAGTGCATATACTACTTTAGAAATCTGTGCGGCTCCAACCAAGTCGGAACCACACCGATATGACCAGGGGCGGACTGACAACCCTGGGGCCCCGGGCAATAGGGGATCATGGGGTCCCTGTGTCCTTGCCCAAACTCAAAAATCCTATGAAAAAGGTACCAGGGGCATCTCATGGGGCCCCTACCCTACTGACCCCGGGCCCTCGGGCAGTGCCCGAGTTTCCAAATGGTCAGTCCGCCTCTGGATATGACCGCTGTAATTGCAGACAATAGGGTGCGACTTGGCATACGATTTGCAAGTCACATGGCATGCAAATCGTATGCTAAGTCACACCCAGTGCAATTGGGGTGTTAGACAGCTGTCACTGGAATTTCTGGCTATATCTATCTACTCTTAAATCCATTCCTACCCCCTTTCTAAATCCTATTCTAAGAAGGAAGAATGCATATACTCATTTATTCTCAGGGTGCTCCTGTCTGGTCACATGGTCAGCAGCAGCTTCAGGGAGAGGAAGGACAGCCAACAATGGATGCCCCATAGTAAATATATGGGTGATATCACCGCTCAGCATCTTCCTTCTACAGAGTAGTTATAATACAAGCTGCAAGGAGGGGGTGGGAGCAGATTTAATAGTAAATAGTTACAGCCTAGAATTCCACATTAAACCTCGGTTCAAACTATGAATCGCACATGAATCTCATTCCTCTGCAATTCACATGCAATTCAGTGCAGTGTGACTTGCGCCCATTCATTTTGCATGCACTACCTTTGGGAACGCACTGCAAGTGGATTGCATGGTCTTTTGACCTGCGTTTGGGGTGTCGTTAACTTCACATTGACACCTGCTGCAGATCGCAACTGTAGTGCATTTTGACTGCAATGCGTAAAACGTTCATGGTTTTGCAGTTTTCCCGTGCCATGTTCTAGTGTGAACCTAGTCGAAGGAATTCAGCCATTTTGATGCATGCAATTATTTTTTCACAAAGCACCTCAATGCATGCCATGTGTTGGCCCTACTGTACAGTGTACCAACTTGAACAAACACTAAGGGTTCATTCACACATATGGCTGGGGGGGCGGTAAAACCAGGCAGTTGAGCTTTGGTTTTACTGCAAGACTCCCCCCAACTACCTGCCTGAAAAAAGGGCATGCAGTCACTCAGGGCAATACTCATGCCGCATCTGCCATGCTGTGCCTCATTGTCATGGCACAAATTAAACATCGTGTTAAATTTGAAGTGTGTTACTGCCGCCAGACGTAACCCATGCAAGTCTATGGGGCTGCAACAAAACCATCCCACAACCATATGCAATGCATGCCATTGTGGTCCAGTGGTGGGGCATTTACAGGGTTAAATCAGGCACTTAGGCGGCAACATATTGCCTTCACACTGCCTGTCAAGCACCCTCTGAAAAACAATCCACTGTGGGGCAGCAAGGGTTGCTGTACGTGTGACCGAGCTCCATAAGACATATATAGTGTCATCCTTCTGACTGAGCTGTCTGGCGGAAATGTATGAATCAGAAAAGAGGCTAGACACCATGACATATCCTTTGTTAGATGAGTTCACATATATTTCAGCCATTTGTCCATCTAGAAAGTAAAAACCATTTCGAAAAGAAAAAACTACCGAGTATTTCTTGCATGACATCCAGTGAGTCACATGCTTCTCCACACCATGAAACAATGGCTAATGTCTTCATTTCCAGCAGCTGAACAAAGGAAAACGTATCATGTACTGCTGGGGAGGGGGGGGCACTAAGGCTGGCCATACACTATTGCAGGTGTGTCGGAGTGCATTCCTTTAGGTATGCTGGGGTACCATTAAAATGGTTGTAAGCCCTTACATATAACTACTAAAGTGACTGGGCTGAGGTGATACACACAGATTAAAACAATCCTCCTACATAAGTTGTACCTGTTTATCTGTAAATATCTCTCCTCTGCAGCCTTTTAAAACACACATATCAAAGGTTACCTCTCAGTTGCAGCAGGCAGGGGGATAGAAAATGATGTCACATACTGCACAGCTTAGTGAGGAGAGCTGAGTGTAATCTGATAACTGAGTGGAAGGAATGGACATCCCCCCCCCCTTTACACATTCGCATAAGGAAACATGCACAGCAGAGGTTGTCAATCACCTGCTGTGTGCTGAAGGGGGTGCAGGGTTCTGTGGTATCAGCATGACCTGTTAGAGGTGAGTCATACAGATAACAGAGGTCAGAAATCACACTTGGTGCTTTGGATAGAGGCAAGTACAAGGGCGGACTGACCATTCGGAAACTCGGGCCCGGGGTCAGTAAGGGGCCCCATGAGATGCCCTTGGTACCTTTCATAGGCTTTTTTGGGCATGGTTTGAGTGTGGGCAAGGACACAAGGGCCCCATGATCCCCTATTGCCCAGGGACCCCCATGAGTTGTCAGTCCGACCCTGGGCAAGTACACTCTATAGGGGGTGGTGCTCTGTTGATTTTTCATTTCAGAGGTTTACAGCCACTTTAACCAGTTCAAGACCACACTATAGCAGATTTACTGCTACAGGGTGGCCATTCTTTGCAAAATCACATATACAAACACAAGTTTTCACTTTGTGGCATAGGGTGCGTGCGTACATGCATGCTGTTGCTGTGACTAATCCCAGCAGAAGCCAATCAACAGGTGCCGGCTAATGGATGAGCGCCGACACCCATTGATCAGGGAGAAAAGTGAAGGACACAGCTCTGCCTAGGTAATCAGTGATCTGCTAGATTTTCTTTCCCTGTGTAGCAGAGAATAAAATGTAGCAGATTGCCTAGTGAAATCACACTACTATGTACACAAAACACTGGTTAAACACAGTTACCCCTTTGATTGCCCAAGATATTTAACCCCTTCCCAGTCAGTGTCATTAATACAGTGAGTGTTTATTTTTAGCACTGATCACTGTATTAGTGTCACTGGTTCCCACAAACTGTCGGTGTCAGACTGTCAGCCACAATATCGCAGTGTCGCTATAAGTCGCTGATCGCCACCATTACTAGTATTAAAAAAATAAATAAAATTACAGTATATATACCATAGTTCGTAGATGCAATAATTTTTGAGCAAACCAATCAATATACTCCTGTAGAGTATATGTATATAGAGGAAAACATATTGGCCTACATTTATGAAGAAATTAGATTTTTTTATTGGATATGTTTTATAGCAGAAATTTTTAAATATTGTTTTTCTTTTTAATGGTCTGGTTTTTTTTGTTTATAGCGCAAAAAATAAAAAACACAGTGGTGATCAAATACCAACTAAAGAAAACTCTATTTATGGGAAACAAATTACATAAATTTTATTTGGATACAGCGTTGCATGACCACGCAATTGTCAGTTCAAGTAACACAGTGACATTTAGCAAAAAATGGCCTGGTCATGAAGGGGGGTAAATCTTCTGCAAGGCACGTGGATAATTTCCCACAACTAATTATGAGGTTAAGCCCTCATAATTATAATAATTGCACACTGGACGTTTTAATAATGCTGGTAGCATTAGCTGTGTAAAGTCACGTTAAAAACTTGTGTTTTTAGTGTTTTGCATTAGGGCTTAGTGGCATTTTCCCATGTTTGCATTTTTAGCTAAAAAAAACTGTCCAAAAATGCCGGTTTGCAGTGTTTAACCGCATTTTACCGCGTTTTTCAGCGTTAGAGCGTTTTTACAGCTAAAAAATCCTCTAGAAACCCACTAGTCCTGGGCTTTTTTTCCAGCCAAAAAATGTTGATTACAGTCTCTGTGTGCATGAACACATAGGATAACATGCTGGGGGGGATTATTATCTGTAGAAAAAAAATGTCAAAAGCCAAAAACAGCCGCTGTAAAAACATCCAGTGTGCATGAGGACTTATGCAGGTCATAGATGGGTTGAAAATCGGCCGATTTCCGCACCATTAATGGGTTAATTGGTTGGCCATTTTTCTGGATTTTGTCAGATTTTTTTGATCAGTAAAGTTGGAAAAAAATCTGCCGATTTTGAAGAAGATGTTGAAGAAGAAGATTTTGAAGATTTTGAAGAAGAATTATTCCAGTTCGCTATTATATTTGACATTAAACAGTATTGCGGTTGCAACAATGTATCTATTTGTATCCGGAAAAAAAATCTGTATCCGAAATGGATACAAATAGATACAACGTTGCAACAGCAATACTTTTTAATGTCAAATATAATAGCGGACTGGAATAATTCTTCTTCAAAATCTGCAGGGACAGAAGTAATTAAATGCCGGCCGTAGACAGGAAGAAAATCGGCCGTTTTTTTTTTTTTTGTTTACTGTTGGTGGTAATGTCGGCCTATTGAATGACCGATTTTTCATTTTTTTGTTTAAAAAAATGGCTGGTTTTCTCCCCGTCTATGGCCTGCATTATTTACTAATGCAAGTTCACTCAGAATCTTGTGCACCTGTACCTGGTAGGCAATCAGCTTCTAAGCTCAGCATGTTCAATTAAACTTTAGCCATAAAACCTGGAAGCGGATTCATTTCCATGCAGAAGTGCACAAGATTCTGAGTGAACCAGCTTTAATAAATAAACCCCCAAGGCCCCTTTCACAAGGTCATTCCGTATGTCTGTTTATGGATGAAAAACAGATACCCATGTATTTCTATGGACTAGCAGATGTAACCGGATGATCATCTGTTTACATCCGTTAATGTCCGAATCCGTTAACATCCATTTTTTTTTAAATGGAAGAAAACTCTTTCTTTAAAAAAACGGAATGGACAAAAACGGATGTAATCGGACAAAAAACGGATGAAAAATGGATGTAAACAGACAAAAAAAATGGATGTAACAGGACAAAAACAGATGAAAAACGGATGTAAATGAACAAAAACGGATGTAAACGATGAAAAATGGATGTAAACGGACACAAACTGATGCAAACAATGAAAAATGGATGTAAATGGACGAAAAACGGATGTAAACAATTAAAAATGGATGTAAACAGACAAAAACAGATGTAAACGATAAAAAATGGATGAAAACAAATGTAAACTGATGAAAAAAGATGTAAACAGATGAAAAACGGATGTAAACTGGTGAAAAATGGATGATCATCTGTTTACATCCGTTAATGTCCGAATCCGTTAACATCCATTTTTTTTAAATGGAAGAAAACTATTTTTCTTTAAAAAAAAACGGAATGGACAAACGGATGTAATCGGACAAAAAACGGATGAAAAATGGATGTAAACTGACAAAAAATGGATGTAAACGGACAAAAACAGATGTAAACAATGAAAAATGGATGT